GTTACAGATGTAGGTTATCTCTGTACTTTTATAAACTCAGATTATACTCTGTACTGTTACAGATGTAGGTTATCTCTGTACTTTTATAAACTCAGATTATACTCTGTACTGTTACAGATGTAGGTTGTGCCAAGTACTTTTCTAAGCCTAAGATATATTTTGTATTGCTATATATGTAGGTTATTCCATATACATCTATAAATACATACATTATATTATATTATTACCTGAGGTTTCATGTTTTCTGATATTGTATATTTCATCAAACAATGTGCTTTATCCACCTAGTTTGTAACAAAATTAAATCACGAACAGTTCTTTGATACATAGGTAACTAATCAAGTTTTAAACGGATTTTGTTACCTTTGGGGGGACGAGAGCACGCCTTCTATGCAGAGCTGCAGCCGGTGGTCCCTCCTCTTGCTCGTCCACTTCACTCTCTTCATCTTCCACAGAGGAGAGCTTCCTAAAAACTATATTCGTCTCCTGCTCCTGGAAAAAAAAACGTTTGTAAACTAATTAAAAACATCAAATCCAAAAATAATGATACAGTCGGTTGTGAAAACAAGGTAAATCTCTATCAGAAAACATGCAGATATGAAAGTTAAAAGCATGGCAACTCTTCGTCACCCATTCCTTGAGGTTTACTAAATGTTAAACCTGCGTATATTTGACTAAAAGTAGGCCTAAGAACATGACACACAAAAGTTATGCTGACCTTATGAAAGTTTCAACATAAATAATAAAACATTACTCATAAGAGTCGAGAAAGGCGCAATTCATTAATGACTTAAAGCTAGTATATACAGTGTTTAGTGAAGCGTTGTTACTGAATGGATAACAAGACGTTTCTATCCTTGGGAGTTAAAAGGTAAAGAAAATAAATTCTATTCGTAAGAAAATAAAGGTTCGTTCTTAAAGTAAAACCTCTAACTGATGCTTAATTTTCCTTCGCATATCTCAATAAACAACCCGCTTTTGTCTATAGACTTCATGTAATTATCACACCATCTTTTAGTTAGAGTAGACTGTTGTAGAACTGCTAACCGAGGTATTAAATATCTAAAGATTGGTTTGCCAATAAATGTATAGATATAATGTGATTATCTAGATAAGCAAAAGCAGAAATAAGAATATCAGAATGATCACACAAAGTTAAATAAAGGGTAATGTGCGCATATCCTTCCCCTAACGTTGAATTGATAGACTAGAGGGAAAGCAACTACTCAACAGCACCCACCACCAACTCTTGGGATATTATTAACTGACTGAACAGTGATCTTTGACTTTCACTCTTCTGGCGTATTCGCGGTCCCAAAGTGCGGAGAGCGTTTTTGCCGCAAGGAGCCGAAAAACCATGAATCCTCGGATTCCCACTTAGAAAATCTTAACGATTAGGCCGGTAAGTTAAAAACAGATAATCACGTTGATAGATATAGTTTATTTTTATTTTGTTTCTATTAAATCAAAGCACCTTTTCAAAGGCAGATGATTATTTGTTTTTGAATTTCGTGCAAAGCTACACGAGGGCCATCTGCGCTAACCGTCCCTAATTTAGCAGTGAAAGACTTGAGGAAAGGCAACTAGTGATCACCACCCACCGCCAACTCTTGGGCTACTCTTTTTACCAACGAATAGTGGGATTGACCGTCACATAATAACGCTTCCACGGCTGAAAGGGCGAACTTGTTTGGTGGGAGGAGGATTCGAACTCGCGACCCTCAGATTGCGAGTTAAGCTCCCTAACCACCTGGCCATGCCAGGGCAGATAAAAAAAAAGAATGAGTTCAAACTCAAAAAAAAAAGTTTTTGTGTGTCAGAAAAGAGGAAGGTATCAGTTCTATAAAGATGTGACACCTAAAAATATTCAAACGAACAGCTTGCGCCACCTTTTTTCCTAAAATTAAATACTTATAATTCAATAACTGCATGATTCTAAGCTGTTTATTTGGTTAAAGTGCAAAGCTGCACAATCGGCCATATGCGCGGTGTCTAATATGGTTAACTGAACCCAGCATGTTAGCGTTACCACAGGAAATACGTATTCTTTTATTTGAACAACTTTGTTAAAGCAAATAAGTATTGTTTAATTATGACAATAATTTATTTAGAATAGAAATGTCAGAGAATGAATAAATAAATAACATTTTTTTTTCCAAGGTCTGAAACTACTTGTGATTTTTAAAATCGCAACATATTAAAAAAATATTGAAGGATAGCACGTTTTCTGTTGATAAACTAGATATACTAGAAATAAAGGAATGACAGTGGTTTCAACAGTACTTAAAACACTATTACATACTATTCGTTCTGGAAGCCCATATAAAGCCAAAAAATAAAGATGTTATTTGAATTATTATTAGTTTTTATTATGACGCAATGCCACACCCTTCACTTACTAATGGTTCTACAAATACCACATCTATATCCGAACCAGTTAAATCACATGTGCTGTTCTACAAATACCACATTTATATCCGAACCAGTTAAATCACATGTGCTGTTCTACAAATACCACATCTATATCCGAACCAGTTAAATCACATGTGCTGTTCTACAAATACCACATCTATATCCGAACCAGTTAAAGTGCAGTTTGACTACCTCAATATTTTTGGTTATTTCATTCAGCATATTCTATTTACTAAGAGCTAGGTCTAATAATAACTAGGCTTTTGTTTTCATGCTGCTTCAGTTCCTTTAGGAAAAAATTCATCAGCTAAAATAACTATCTAAAGCTATGCCTATTTTGCTGTATCTATCAATGTAAAATAATTTCATTTTCTACAAACACTTTGATTCATATTCTCAGCTCCAGAAAAACGGTTGGCAAGTGTTTAAAAACTATTCTTACAAAATCACTAGTAAAACTTGTTTATTTGTTTGTTTTTGAGCAAAGCCGCGTTCGACTATCTGCTGTGTCCAATTTTTGGTGTTGTAAGTCCGTTGACTTACTGTTTCCCATCGGAGGACCACATGCAAGACACAACACTTCAAAGTTTTTTGTCACAACCTGTAGTGAAGTGCATAATATAAAACAAGTGTTCTTTTTTTGGGGGGGGGAGACATTCATATGTACGAATGAAAGTTTTGTGACAAAAGGCGAAAACGTTTTTCCAAATATGGCTTAGAATCGCGTACATTTTAATATTTTTTTTTAAACACAAAATGCCCCCATGTGGCACAGCGGTATGTCTGCGGACTTACAACGCTAGAAACCGGGTTTCGATACCCGTGGTGGGCAGAGCACAGATAGCCCATTGTGTAGCTTTGTGCATAAATTCAAACAAACAACCAAACAAATCAACAAAAAAATAATAATTAAATATATAACTGAAAGTTGTCCACAAACACATGATAATAATCAATAAAGCATATTTATATATATATATATATAATTCACACAGTTTTTCAGTAGTCAATAGTTATTTTAAAATTTTACTCATCTTTTAATCCGGGTTCCTAATATATTTATAGATCCGTTAGTAAAACATGCCAGCGCTGCATCGTTCAAGATTATGTCCACACAAGAGTTTTGTAATGCAGCAACTTACAGTAAGAATGTTTGTCTTACGTACTTAAAGAGATGCCAAAGAACATGTGAAGCTATTTCGCAACTTTTACAAACTTAGATCTCCACAATCACACACTAAATAATTTCTTGAGCTTAGCTGATACTGACACGCGAAGTCAGTCTCAATAGGTAATAATACATAAATACACTACCCACTTGCCCATCGTTGTCACGAACAACCAACAGTTTGACAACTGACCGCATGTGGAAAGGTAACGACGAAACTCCTTCCAGCCTTCAGAGAAACAGGTTAGCAGTGTCAAATGTAAGGCAACTTTTTCCCCGGGGTAGTTAATTTGACGATTAAATAATTCCCTAAAAATTCATAATAGGTCCAAAATACACAATATTCCGACCTCTTATTTAATGCTAATTACAAGCTATCGATCAAGAGAAACGTAAATTCTATCAACCAAGCTCCTTAGTCTGTAAAGAAAAGTCTACAACTAAAGTTTCAGTTATTCACACTACATGAACGTTAAGTTGTTACATTCTCCATGAAGGTTCAGTTATTATACACTACATGAACGTTCAGTTATTACACTACAAAAATTATTACTGTCTACATGAACGTTTGTTTACTACACTACAAAAACATTATTACTGTCTACATGAAAGCTATGCTATTACACACTACGTGAATGTTCAGCTATTACAATACAATTGTTACGGCATACTTGTAAATTAATGTTGTCACTATATTTGGAGACTTAGTTCTTACAGTATAGTTGGAGAGATAAAACCTTTCTTGGAGATAGGATTATTTCTATATATATGATATTTTGTTATTCCATTGTACTTGTTATTTTTAAAGGTTCAGTTATTAAAGCACAATTAGAGTTCCAATGAGATTCTGCTTGGAACTTCAGTTATTGTATTACACTTGGGTCTTCAGTTACTACTTATGGCTGAAGGTTCAGTTATCATGGAACAGTTGGGGTTTAAGTAAGATTCTGCTTGGAACTTCAGTTATTGTATTACACTTGGGCCTTCAGTTACTACTTATGGCTGAAGGTTCAGTTATCACAGAACACTTGGGGTTTAAGTAAAATTCTGCTTGGAACTTCAGTTATTGTATTACACTTGGGCCTTCAGTTACTACTTACGGCTGAAAGTTCAGTTATTCCAGATCTCTCAGACACTCTAGTACTACACTTTGCTTAGAATAACAACATTTATGCTGTGAACTGTACTTTAAATATTCAGTCATTCCTCACTGTTTCAAACAATAAAAAACGCTGATGCTTTCTTTAGGCTTGGAGTTTTAATAATTGTTACATACGAGAAGTTTATGATGTGCCATTACAATTAAAACCATCAGTTAGTGCGTTACGTTTGACTGCAGTTTAAACAAAGCTAAAGCACTTGGACAAAAAGATATCGTATTAATTAATGAATTTCAACGAAATTTGTTTCAACTAATTAGGTCGTCAACATTTAGCTGGTTATAAAATATGATAAATTCGAATGTATCTGAGTTAACATGTACTATGAAAAGATCACACACAAAAACAGATGTTAGCTTCAGGTGTGCTTGCCAGTGGCTCAGCGACAAATCTGATCACAACGCTAGAAACCGGATTTCAATACTCGTGGTGGGTACAGCAGAGACAGCCTATTATTTAGCTTTGTATTTAATATTAAAACGAACGGACAAAAAACAAACTTCAAGTTTTCTAGTTTGTATGTTTTAGTGAGTTGTGTTGTTGTTGTAGTTGTTGTTTTTTTACATACGATCTCGAACTGTAACTATGTGTGGTTGAATTACTTCTTTCTACGCTTCTTCCGATATATAGTTTCATATGAAAACCTAGAGTTAAACAAATTCTAGGTTTTTACTACTTGATTTGATAAGGTGGCATATAATAAACTCAAACTGTAGCGTTATTACAGACGCTTTACACCTTACAATAATAAC